ATCATTTGTATCAATTTGATCTTGCCTGTAAACTGGCATGCCTCATCTAACAAACTGTTATTTGACAATAAATTATTATCACTATCTGTTTTCTGACCTGCATTAGTGTGACAAGGCTGAAAGAGGCCAATTTTTATTGCACAAGTGGCGTCGAAAAGATCGTTATATTATTCTAAGTCGGTAGTCGCATTCGATCACTTTCGACCAGCCAGCAACTTGAGATCATTTAGACAGGAAGAAGTTTCCACCATTTGTGAGTTGCTGGACACGTTGAAAGATACACGAACATACAAACATAGAATCAATGGGGTAGACAAGGTAGACAAGTGACTTAATATAAAAAATGGAATTTATCTAAATGTGAGTTGAAGAAAGGATAATTCTTCCAGTACCAATCCTCATTTTGCTTGTGCCCCGGCAGGGATACTGCCCGTGCTCTCAAACCTAAGTATGTGGTTTTCTCAGGGAGGCACTCTACACAAGGCAGTAGAGTGACGTTAGGAGATTCAGTGCCATGGCAGATGGTGGCCAACAATAAGTTCATACACCATTTGCTGCCTCAGCATCCTGGAGCCATGTGTAGGATTGGTTTGGAATCATGGTTCTCTAAATTCCTTAGGTGGATCCTTCATATCCACCAACCCGGTTAAGGCTCTGGACATTTGCTCTTTGTCTTCTCAATGCTGCAAACAACGCCACCGCGAAAATTCGGTGAATAGCACTTGTCAGCTACTGACTGAATACGCGAGGCTATGTGAGAGCATTTCGAGAGGGAGAGCCAAAAGGTAGCCCTCGTTCCATTGATAAAAGCAACCAAACTGTTAGTCAGTAGATCTTAGTCCGTGGGACAGTCATGGTGTAGCGGAAGGTTACCTGTTCAAATACACAAAGCTTTTCATTATCCGAAATAAGATAATAAAAATACAATCTATTGATCTGACGTGAAGAAAAGTTCAAATTTGATTGATTTACTTATTGTGATTTCTGTTCAACATTACTTCCGTTTTGATTTAATATGATGATTATTCAGTGTAGCATTTCTTTCGTTTTCTCGTATGATTTTTTATTCTGTATAATATACGATATCTTTGTATTCAATGGACATGAACTATGCTTAGCATGTGACTTGTTATAAGTGAGTATTTTTTATACATGTGATTCTAACCTAATTGTGTTCAATCCATACATAAATGAGTGTACTTTCAATTAGGGTCGTCGTGTTTTACGGGCTAATAAATCTTTACTTACATCAGTCTTTGTGTTCTTACTTTCGCGTTGTGGGAGTTGCAGAGGTCCCTAGTTTTTAGTATAAGGGATAATCGTTTCCCACACAACAATCAGCGACGACCAGATATAAAAAGTAGCATACAAACGACAAGACATATCAGTGGCGATGGGGATCTCGCAAAAAAAATCGACAGTAATTATCAACCCTTATACGAAATAAAGAAGAAAATGAATACTTAAGCTCTATTGTTTTCACATGTACTTAGTTGTTTGAAGTAAACTCTTAACTAATCAACCTAAGTTGTTACACTAGCTTTATCCCAGAACGGACTTCGTAGGAACGTCGAATCGATTGACCCATCTATCAAGAAAACATTCATCCTGTTTTCGCAGTCCAGCTGAGTATTACTAACTCGTTCAGTGTTTGGATTTCAATCACTGATGAGCAACTCGGTCAATACTTCGCGATAGTCCATGAATATTTTATATTTTACTAGCCTGTTATCTTATCCCATAGAGTTCAGTTACTTCTGAAACTGTCGCTGCTGGTTCACTACATGCTCCCTGTGTGGTGACCAAAGCTTGTAAAAGGAAAGTGTGAAGAAAATAAAGGAATAATATCTGAGGAAGTGCTGTGGATGGGCTGCCCGAAACCATGTTGATTAGGTATGATTTTCCCATGCTTGTTCCAGCCATCAAGTTTTTACTCACCTGCCACTTAAATATCCCTCATGTAAAACTAAGGAAGAATCTACCTCAGAAACAATGATAAAAATCAGTCAAACTTGAAAGATTACTCCACCGGTTGTATAAAATAATAAGGTACGGAAAGTAAATACACGAATATAAGTGATAATTGTTTAGTTCCACGTAGGCGTTCGTCTCCCAGAATGGATTAGCGATCCGGAAGGAAATAGACACAGTTTAGACATCTTGTGCACGAAAAAGTATTAAAAGAAAATAATACCTTTCGAATTCAGTAAACCTTTGAGTCAACCGGTTTCATAAGTATATCATATGTACAACCTCAGCTACTGTTAACTATTGTTAGGGTTCGTTTGGCGAGATGAGGTAATCAGTTCATGATGTGTTACAATAGAATGAAGCATAGTTTGCCAATATCCGTTGATATATTCCAACTCCACAGATGATATCACAAAGGTAATGTGACCAGTTGGAGATGTTACTGAGCATGATTTTTCGCTTTATTCAGTGGTTGTCGTGCTAAAGTTTTCATTTTCAGCCCAACGGTGAAATATTCTTAGTGAAGGGTTTTCGAAGCCACTGCCTTATTCTAGGTAATAAATTCCATCTTCCATCTATTCTTTTATTTCCATTATGCTCTTCATATGTTGTAATTCACAATGCACTTTTCAGACCGAATTCGTCTGAATGACAATTAAAGGTATATTTTACGGGCTTCTACAGGAAATTATGAAAAACGAACCATATGCCTTCAGGAAGAGTTCATTTGTGAGTACGACGAGTTAGAGGGCTTTTAGAGGTGTATATATTATTATCACCCCTAGATTGTGGGATCTGATAAATAGACTGAATTTGTAATGTTTTTATCAACCTGTGAGCGTAAGTGTAAAACCAAAGTGACATTTGTGAAAGATTCTGTTTCATGAATGCCTACAATAATGCCACGTTTTTGTAAGTCTGAAAAAAGATCTAGATTATGGAGATGAGATTTTCTATCAGAACTTGCGATCAAGCAGTCTAGCACAATGTTCAGAACTCTATATACATGTTATGACAAATCGCCGAAAAGTTTATGTAGCAGCTGTTAAACTGAAAGTAACGTACAAAAGTTCATTGAGTCCGAAGAGAGTGATGAAACCTTTTTTAGAATATCGTCTACAGTCATAGTAAGTTGATTAAATAATTTAAGTGAGTTAATTTTCAAAAAAAACAGTTATACCTTTTAAGGTGGCTGTCGAAACATGAATGTGCAGCAAGAAGTGACAATCAGGAGAATTTTACTTATTCAGACAGTGACAGTAACCAGTTGGATGTCAGTCGTCGCTGTCTAGTTTAGAGATCATGTACAAAGGAGATGCCCGTAGCCTATTCGATAGAAAGATGATTCCAAAGCCTGTCTGGCATTAGCTTTCAATAATGTCAACTTTTCGTCAGCCAGTGGATATATGTACGCAAATATGGGTGGTCATGTAGAAGTGATATGGTGTGTAACAATTTCGGTCGCACTCTGTGGCGACGCGTACTCGTTGAAAGCATCTATTGATTGTATACTTAACTGTGCATAATGTACGACCATAAAGTGGAATTTCACGAAAAGATAATCCAGTATTTCTGTCTGTTTTACTTCCGTTTCCTCGGGTCGATGAATAGATTTTGGTGATGTAGTTGGTCTATGCCAATCATCAGCATAGAAACAACTGCAACAGGGAGAACCCAATGAATGGGCTTGCTTAAAATCACATCACGATGAATATATCTCTTAACGTGTGTGGCGACCGGTTTTCCGTTTGGCACTTGTAAGTTGAAGACCGGTCTATGCAGACAGTCGTTAGAATTAGCGGAGAGGATGATAACTGCCGCGTAAGTGTCAACGAGGTAGCGAAATTTCGTCGTCACAACAATGATGTATAGCAGACGGATACATCTACTGGTTGCGGTCGCAATTAACGCGTGTCGTTGGTAAGTTTTCACGTCAGACGTCTGGGATCTTGAAAAACTCCAGGGTTTTCCCCGGATTCTAAAGTAAGTGTGATGTAACGGAGATACTCATCATTACACTATCGAGGAACACACAAACGCGCGGTACTGCAAAGAATTTTGCACGTAAGTCTATAGCCCCGTATTAGTGGAAGTCAGCTTCTGCATAGCAAAACTGTGCTTCGACGTTATCGGGACAGAATGGACTGAGTTGGAAGGTGAGGGCGTTAGGGATTTACAAAACTATTTATTTGGGGAATTAATTTACCGCCACAGGTACGTCAAATTATGTTCCAACTGCTTCTAATTCATTCATCTCATGAGTCCGGGAAATAGGATTTTGAATTAAAAGTTTTGATCCTTTGCTAATGAAATTTTCCGGAATCTCTCAAGGCTCTCTATAGTCTATAGATGTCCAGTAGATTTTCACAAGGAATTATTGAAAGACTCAATGGCTGTTTGATGATTACCATAATGACAACTCATTCACGGAAGAATTCAACAGCCTTGGGGGTGCTCAAACACAAAAAACTAAGTCAGCTAGTAAAAATACGTGGTACTTACTTTTTTGAAACCACGTACGTTAGATATAGACACAAACTACATTGATGTTTTTCCTGGGATTTAATGCATGGTGTCTCACAAGAACGATCGGGTACATTCGAGCTGATATCTTTGTTCATCATAAGGTGCTCTGAAGTGACAATTTTTCACCGTGATATGGTACTGTCAATCACAACTGTAAAAACTAAGAAGCAGAAAATTAATTACCTCAGTAACACAGACTATAGTATTCGTGATAGATTGGTAGATATCTGCAACTTAGTAGTAGGACGAAACGGCCGTCCAGTGCTTCCGTGTTTTCCGAGGTGGTCTAGCTTCAACTGATTCATGATCCTAACCACTGAAACTACTACGATATCCACAAAACCCATCTAGAATTTATCAGTATCCAATCTTACTGGTTAGTGATGTTTTCACTCATCAAACGTTTTTAAATAAAATGAGTTTTTAAGATACTGAGTGTTTCATAAAAACATTTCCAAGACTTTCATGTATTTGTTTTACTTCATCAACACTAGAGGTACATAGCCTTCGGTACCACCAGTGTGAACTAATTCGACATCTTGACAACATGACAACATGAGTAAATATCTTTCTATATCAGAAGAGTGGGTAAAAGAGAAAGTCAAAATTTGCGGTGAAAATCTAGGTACGTGACTTTTAATCTGTTTATTTCCATAGAGGACATAAAAACATTAATACTACAAGGAAATTATGAGGAAAAAATTAGCTGCCTTGGGACTTCGTTATTGCATTTCTCAAGGTTAAAAATTTTGGATCTATCAAGAAACGTATTGAAATCTATCAGAGTAATATTTTCTATACTTGTCACTTCTACAAACAGGGTATCGAACACATTAGGACTTTGGAAGTGTTAAACCTATATTACAATTGTATAGAAGAGATAAATGAACTTCGAGTTCTATCTTTCAACGAAAATATCAGAGATTTGGACCTCAGGCTGAATCCGGTTTCGCGTATAAACTCCGATTACAGGCTTTATCTCACGTACATCCTTCCCAAACTAAAAACGCTTGGTGGGTAGGAAGTATTTTGAAATATTTTTCAGTTTTCTATTAAAAGTTATGTCTAAAAGTAGAACACTTCTTTCTTAATATAGTGTTTTTCACTGGTATTTTGTGATTCAACAGTTAAATAGACATATTCACTTGTCCATGATTTTTCACACTGATCGTCTAATAAATGTAAAAACTGTCGGTCTAGTAATTTCTTCTGCCATTTGTTTGACGTAAGTTTTCATTAGATAGCTGTTGTTTGTATAGTTAAAGCCTTGTACTCGCAAATACGAATCTGTCAACGAGATATTTGCTCGTCAAAGCGTTAACTGAGTGTATCTACACGTCTTTTTTCCTTAAGTTTGTTGGAAATCTAAACGCGTCAAAAGTGCGTGCTACCAAAATCTAGTAAGTATTGATGCATAGTGTACGCAAATTTACTGTCCGTTTAATTTTCTCCAATGTGGAGGGTTATATAATCTGGGAAACGTTTAATAGTTTAATAATTTAAACGTCCATAAAATAAAAATTTAGATCTCGAGGATCACAATTCAGTTTTTAGAACAGCAAGTAAATTAAATTCCTAATTGTCGACCGATAATTGTTTGAACATTATTTTGTTTGAAAGGTATCTTCACTGCTACTTTTTAAGATAGTAGTAAGTAGTTCAGTCAGCTTGAATTATTCCTATTAACATTAGGAACAGTTATTGCTATTAATTTTACGTGAAGACTTATCAGTAAAAAGCGTATAAATCACTCAGCCGTAAATGTCCAAATTCCATCAATATTTACTTTAGTGAAGTGAATCACGTTCAAATACGTTCTAGTTAGACTTATTTGTCAACTATGGTCATTAAAATTTAATAGTCTTTTACACTTTATCCTGCTCAAACCTTTAAATGAGTGATCTACAAACTCAATTTGGTAGCCTCGTAACTTTGAGCCATCAGGGTCACTACGATTTCGGTTATTTTCAGCCTTTTACCAGTCAATATTTGTTTTTCAGTCATTATAAATTGTTTCTACAGCAATGATGGTAGAAAATTGCCTTACATTATCATCTCTAGCTGACTTACTAATTTTCCAAGGCTTTCTATTTATACACACATAGTCTTTCATTGTTAATATTCATATTACGTAATCCAGTATTACAATCTTTCTATTACATCATCATGTTTATTACTTGTTAATAAGTCATCAGGGAACTAATACTTTACTAATAATAAGTTTGTTGAAAAGAGATCTCTTCATTGAAGGTTTTGTTTTAAATATTTAAACGAGAATTATATGTCAGTTTAACATTAAATATAATGTATCACATTATCATGTGATTTGGTTTAATGACGCAACTGAACTAAAACATCTAAATGGTTTTACTAGCTAGCTTGAAGCTATAATGTTGTTTGAGTTGGTACATTGATATCAGTAGTGGCACTAAATGCTTTAGAGCCATCAATAGTCATTTACTAGAAGCAAATATATCAACAAATTTTTCAGTAGTCAAGTACATAACATATATATGACTTGAAACTTATATTTTTTATCCCTTTAGATTGTCGTATGCTGAGAGATGCGGAAAGGAAAGCAGCCATTTCTTTCTTTGGAACTGACTCTACAGTTGATATCTGTCCTTTGTCCATGTTAAGGAAACTTGATGATATGAGATCACCTAAAGCCAGTAAAGCTAGACTTGACCATAGTCCGCACTTTATTGAAAACACAGATCGCCCATTAAAATGTTACCAAAATCATAATAAATCTTCACTAAATCTGGATATATGGCCATGTGATGGTTATACTACTTTGAATAATACACTAGTTTACGACGTGGAGGCTTATGATTTATCAACTAGATCGCAAGATCCATGGACAAATAATATTTTACGTGCTGATTCAAAACCCAGATTAATGCTACCACCGCTTGATCCTCCCAGAGGTATCAAACATGCTGAGTTCTACAATTGTAAAGGTAATAGTCTGTTTGTATTATTTGTGTTGTAATTGAAGCTTGCAAGTGTTTATCAGTAATTTTTTATCCATCTCCCCGTTGTAGTCATAATGTGTTCAAAGCTACTCAAGAAACAAGATTAAACCAGTAATACACTGTTTTATATAACTACTTGATTTTTCATGTGGAGTTTTCAGGCAGATTTTTAAAAGTAAAGAGATTCTTCGTAAATGTGTCAAGTTCTGTCCGTTTTTAGTATGATTTTTAAGTAAACAGTGAGGAACTTTGACGAACTTACATTAAAGACAGCTAACATAAATATCAGAACCAAAACAAATTTGTTTTGTTCTTGTTACATAGTAAAGCTTTGTATCAATGAATACTTGCCAAATAAAAAAGGACAGAAAAATAGATATATGAAAATAGTAGCGCTGGATACGAGACTAAAAATTCTCTGGTTGATTAAGTATACCAAATATTTGTTTCACATGAGATTAGTCTATGATCATTAGGCGGTTGATATTTTCATTTTTTTACTTTAGTATACTCATTCTATAGTGATGAAATTATTTTTCACTTCTGATTTCTAGTTACAGCACCTGTAGCTGAATATAGTAGAGAACTAATATATTTTGAAGGAAAAAACATCTAACTACACAGTATTGCATTCAATTAGAGCCTTCTAAGGCTTTCCTTTAGTAAACAGTTATATTTATGTGCTCATACATACGATCCATTAACTCGGCCACAACTATTAAAAGAAATTGGAGCACGCAATAAACAAATAAATTAAATGTGCACTTGTTAGAGGGCACTTATCGTCAAAGTGTTCAAATAAAAACTACAGAAATAATTAAAATGAGTAAGCATATCGTGAAGACGTCAACAGCTAAACAAAGGACAGAAGTACAAAAAGTTAGTTCTGATTCTAAGACTAAATTTGATGGCTCAAACCTTTATAATTTTGGATGTGTGTAATGGAAGGTTTGGAAACTTGGTCACTATTGAATGAGAAGAACGAAACGACTCTGTCCAATGAATTTGTTTGACCAATTTTGAAATACAGAGGCAGGTGCTTACTAGTTAACTAGCTAACTTATCTGCTACTGCTCTAGATAGTCACATCAACAGGGGAATAGAATGGAAAAATGTTCGTCAACTGGGAAAAAACTATTTAATTTATAATTTATATGAGCAGCTACAAAAAAACATAAAATATTTTATGACTGGTCTGCTTGATTGACTGATATAATTCAATAAACATTCGATAATCAAAGGATACTAGAAAGACAATTTGCTTCGTTATGTGACTCATTAACGGTATGTATATAACATATCACTTAGGTGAGAATCCAGAACCTATATTATCTCCCAGCGAACTAATTAGATTACTACTTTGAATTTCCGATTTCTTTTTATTTGTGAAATAATGTCACAATCATTAAATCCCACTCGTAGATGGATAAAAAATTTTCTCTAACCAAACAGGAATGCATTTCGCTGCCCACAAAACTGAAACGAATCTCCATGACTGAAAAGGTCTAAATTACAAACCTATCTTGTCTAGATCACCACCGAAAACCTGGGAAAATTGGACGACCGTTTCGTCCAGGTCTAGGACTTCTCATCGGTGCGCATCTTCGACCCTGCACCGGTAACCATACACAGAACTTTCATTCTAGCATGCGAACGTCTAAACTCCAAATCTCTGAGCTTTCATCTGACGGTGTTGGTGTCCAACACTAACACGATATTGCACAACATTTTTTCGTTGTGTGTGATGAATAAATGTCTCACACTCGATATGGTTGGATTTCAGTGGTCTCAGTTAATACGAAAAATAAAAACCAAACAAGTAGAGTAGTGAGTTTGTGTAGATTGTTGAACTTTATAGTTTGTAACACGAGCTGTCCATGATTAGCCAGCCACTAAAAGCAAGGATAGAAGTTTCGTCCAACCATGCGACTCTCTAGAGCTGAAAGTTTTGTACTCAACCCTTTGAGAAGAGATATGGATGATTAATGTTGAGAAGTTTTATACTAAGACGAAATAGCTGTCTAGTGCTCCCTAGTTTTCAGTGGTTCTCTGACTAAAGTCAGTTCGTGATGAAAACATAAATATTTTCGAAGAAAAGCCTATGATGAACAAAACATTCCCTTATAACGTAATCTAATTTCTTTTAATGCTAGCATGTTACTTTAACTGACGTTATGATTCATTTTCTAAACCAATAGGTTAGTTAGTTGAGTTGAACAAACACCGTAGGCTTATTCATTTTGTTTGTTTATCTATTTCTTGTATTCTTTTATTGAAAAACAGAAAACTAAATGGCATCCATAATGCTTTAAAACACAGTTTTCATTAGAAATAAATTTTTACTGTTTACATGATATTGCCTAGTAATGCTGAATTATTTTATTCTAGTACCGGAAATATATATATATATATATATATATATATATATATATATATATACTGGAATAAATTAAATTACTCAATCAATTAATAAAGTTTATTTGCTGCTTAATCAGAATTCCAAGATGACTCATTTAATCTTAAATCTATAGTAGGAGAGAAAGAACTTTATAGAAATTTTACGTAAATAAGTTTTTCTGTCTACTAACACCCTACTTCCATCCCAGCATTGTACAGTTAACAATACGCTACGTTTATGGACCATGCATCCAGGATTTAGATCCTGAAGTTCATTGTTAAGCACACTCCAACTATTTTGAGACTTGCAACTAAAGAGTAATATCAAGTCAACTCACTACGAATAAACGTAGGTCAATATCCACTGATCTAATGCACTCTTCAATGTTAACAATATGAACTATTCAAGTCCATTCATATATTTGAAATTGAGTTTTACAATAATGTTGAATAATCCACAACTTTTATCCGAGATGATAAGAAACGTTTTAAATTGTTGATAAATATCTCCACTGATTAAGTCTAATATCCTTTAAGATAAGACATGAGTTGTTTGCTAATTTTTATCGATGTTATCACTTGTTCTTACAGATGTTATTGGTTCAATGTCGAGATATATTATCAAAATTGTGTACATTAGCTTACTGTAATTACTGTGATTAAAATCACGGATTTTTCTTAAAATGTATTAGAATTCAGAATTCAGAGAAAGACGTACTAAATAACTAAATTACATAGTTTATATGACTGACCGACTTTAGTTAGACAACCAGTAAAAACCAAAAAGTATAAAAAGGCTATTATGAGACTCCTTAACATTGTACATTCATGACTATATGGTAGGATGAAATGGCTGTCTAGTTCTTCATAGTTTTCAATAAGAAGGTTAGCTCATGATATAAATACTTCGAATTCCAACAATCTTCACAAACGCCTCACATTAAAAAAAGTAAATAAAAATAAATTTTATGATATAATTGTATGGTTTATTCGATTAGTTAAGTCTTCGAATACTCCAAATTGGTGATATTTCCTTTTAAGTATGTATAGAAAACAGTGTGCATTATTAAATTTTATAAAAGGAATATCTGTCTATATCCATTATTTTAATGATTTTCTCTTTGGATACTTTTCTTGTTAACAAGTAAGTTAATAATAATTTTATTTCCTTTTAAAAAACATTTCTAATTGAATCCTTTTGTCCGACGTTGTTTTAAGGGATTAATCCTATTTATAGGTATTTTCTACAAAATTTTCGATCACTAATATCGCGCCTACTGAAATACCGATGTTTAATCTTTTTTTCGTTCATATAGAGAGACTACAAACAGAATTAGAATTTTCTGTACCCGGAAGAAAAGATAATGTTGATGAAAATGGACCGATTATTGACAAAAATGGCCATCAATCTCATAAGGTCAGTCACGCTATACTTTGTTTCCATCAATTCTTGAACTGACATTGTATTATGATGTTAATTGGTTGGAAGTAATTGATAGAGAGAGAGTTTCATACTACTTAGAACTCATCAGTAAGACATACCCGTTAGCGTGAGGGAACTGGTACTGATCATGTTATCACTGAACGTTTCGAGACGTGGTTGGCCTTTCATATTGCTTGCTTCAAACGCAATAACGTTATTCACGAGCTTGTGGCTATATGGAAACAGTAGCTAACTAGATAATGTGATGGCGTTTGAGACGAGCGATACTGAATGGGAGTCCCGGAGTGGACCGTAACTCTGGGATACAAGCGAATCCAGGCGACGAGTCCGAGGCAAGATGAAACGCCTATTCCGAGTTTTACTGCTAGCTACCTTTCATTTCTCCCTGTAGTGCTTGTGACTTAATGGCACCATTGAGGCGATTCGCACAGGATACCTACATGCCGAAATAGGTTGATCAAATGAAAACCTAAATATCTATGGAAAGATTCAAACAACCAATATATATGAATTAGGACCTGATTATCGTATTTAATTCACGAATATGATATAAGTCATATTGATTGCTTATTTCGCGATCGATTTATTTGATAATAATATTTTCGTTACACTATTAGTAATAAGAAAGCTGTGATTTCTCAGAACATTTTGTTGCGTGAATATCAAAGATTTCTAGTAAAATTATCAATTCACTCATTTAATGTGACCATATTCTTGAAATAAAGTAAACTAATTAAAATTATAAGCAAAGATGGATAATGTCTAGCAGTGGAATCCAGGACGGGCGTTTTGTCCTATCAGCTGGATGTACCTGCATCTGAGTTGATGTCCACTCTGGGACTCGAACCCAGTACCGTTCGCTTCAAACGCTATCGCATCACCCACTTAGCTATTGAGTCCTGATAGCCACTTGCTTGTGCAATGGGGTGAAGTTTAATTCATTTGGTATTGTTTTACTTGAATAAGAGACTGATCAATTGCAGTCCTAAACATCAATGGGAAGATTTAAATAAACCAATACCAAGTGAATTAATTAGGATTAGTTTATTTGAATGTTCGTCATAATTGGGACGACCAGCTTGAAAAAACGTAAATGCAAATTATACTGAAGATATTATGTATAAAAATTATATTTTAAATAGTCTCAAATATTTCAATTTTACTAATTTCAACATCTCTGAAGAAGCTCGGGAAATTTTGCCGGGCGAAACGTTGAATATATCTGGATTTTTGTTGCTACGACTATTTTATATATAATTTTTGCATTTAATGATCAAGATTGGGTTGGATAAATTCCAGATTTATACTGTCTATGATTTAACCAAAAGCGAAGGAAGGTAGTCATAGTAGACTCAGCTTCTAATGTTTATGTACGTATGATAATAAATAATTCACATGACCTTAGTTGGATAATTAGGTTACTTTCACTTAAACCTAGTCATATCTTCTGTATTTCATTTTTTACAGGAATCCAGTGAACGATGTTTAACCGTTGTCCCTTCAGATGTTAAATTAGGAAATGGTGAGTTCAGAACAGAAAAGTAATGCTTCATTGATTCATTAATCGTTTTTCTAATTTTCACAGGGTATAAGTGTAATATTTGTCATCTACCTAAATTATATTCTACATTTTGTAATATCTCATTTAAACCTTTAGAATACTGTAGTATTTTCCGGAATTTAGCACTGAAATATTTGACTATGATAATACTAATAATTATATTTAGTATCAAAGATATGCATTGTATGAAAAAATTACCAGCTCTACAGATTGAATCCCCTAATAAATTTTCATTGTCAAATTGTAATTGAGACTATTCAAAGAAATTTAAGACATCTTTACAACAGCGATCAACAGCCGTTTATCTTGAACTTCAAGCTTTACGAACCACTCGTTTTCTTGGGAGAGGGAGATTTTTTACGAGTATTATGAATAGGTCATATTTGATTATAATAATACTGATGGATTACATGCTTAATTTCAAAATATCTGTTTAAAACTTTGTTTTGAAGTCAAATAGTTCATAAAGCGACTAAACGACATCAAAATCCTTCATAAAATAGTATGGTCTATTCTTAAGAGACTGCACTATATTTGTCAAACTGATTTTTCTGAAGTTATCCCAAGAAATATAACGTCTTTTCTTAAGAACTGAGTGTTGTTTGTTAAGTCTGAACACCAAAGATAAGGGATAAAAACTTCCTATTTGTTTACTAAGCTCATGCTACTTTATAAATCTTGAGCTGTAAATAAATCAGATAACAATTACACGAGTGAAGATATACTTCAAAATATATTCTGTTACATAAATCAGAGATCATGTACCTTGAAGTTCTGGAAACCTCTAGAATAAATATGAATACATATGTTTTTTGGATTTACGAGACAACACTAGTTGCTTAAATACAGTTCAGACATTAGTGAAGGACTACTTTGAATGCTTATCTTTTTTTACAGGTCCACGTATACCACCTAGAGGAAAACGTTTCACTCCATCTTCTATACTCTCTAATCCAAATGTCAAAAAAACTTCAGTAGAACAGGATAAAAGTGAATATATTTCTGAACTCAGTAAACATTCCGAATCTTCATGGATGAGGAATGACTATATAGACAGTTATTCAAATGAAAAGATAGATAATGCATTTTTTCTAATAATGAAAGTAAGAATTATTTAATTAAAATTATTGTTTATTTAATGCATCAAATTTTTATGCCTACATACGAGTTCAAAGCAAATTATACATCTCAAGAAAATGTAGAATTAAATGAATACAGTAAAATTAGCTCATTTAAAAAGATAAGATAGAATACTATGCAGTAAATAGCTATTACGAAGTAGAATAAGTCGCATTCCACACTATGCCCTCCCTCATTTCGAATCAAAGTATAATTATTGTTCATACTGTTTTCGTTGCTAATTTGTCATATTAACTTTTCGTCTTATGTAGTTTTGGTTTTGGAGTTGGCAGCTTTTTGCTTTATTGTGTAATTATATTGCCTTTGTAAATATGATTTCTTCACTTGTCAGTCTACCGACAATTTTTGTCACATCCTGATTTAAATAAATCTAAATTTTATATCTTCTCACTTGGTATTTTATGTCATGAACTTGTTTCAGTCAGACAACCATTGATAAGTAAGAAGAACCAGTGAGGTCGTTAGTACAAACTGCTCTCGAGTTTCACCCTAAAATGAAACAACCAGTATCCTACTTGGTTTTCATTAGTCGTCAGATAAAATTCGATTCGTAATTCAAACGTCAAACTTCTCAATTTCCACAAATCTCGTACTCTAAGCGTTATTCTTCATTCAACACTTATCAAAATGTCAGGGAGACTTTAATTTTTGGACGACCCTTGAGGAACGCTAAAATGAACTTGGAATGTCCACCTACCTACTAGGGTTAAATGAGGAGTATGGATTAGTGTGAGGAATTATACTTAGGATTTACAGTTGGATGTTAGATTTGTTGGTTTTATCACGAACTGATATCAGCTATAATGCCAAAATAACATTTAACAAAATGAATGAATTCTGCGCCAAAATTCAAGACCTGATATCTTATATATGACTGTTTCGTCCATAGATTATAGCCTCGCCAAAGTATCTTTTGCACTGGACTGGCACCAGACGTAACTTTTTGTTGTAATCACCTGATCACTGCGTTAGTTTTCGTCATTTAATTTAATTTCTGCTATCAAGACAAAACTGGATAAACCTTTAGTGCATTAGACAAATGCTTTTCATTTCCAAAGGATCTTCATCAATAATTTAAAACCTGAACGAAAATCGGTATGTTGTCAATAAATAACAAACAAAATATACTTTACAAATCCAATTATAAAATACACATTATACGCTTAACAAACTAATGCATTCAAATAAATATTAAAACAAGCTAGCGACCACAGTCGGAATGTATTCAAAAATGGGAATGTGATATAAGTTTACTGGAGAATAAAGGATGAAGGTCGTAAAATATGGTGAAAAGCTTTCAACTTCAATTTGACAAATACAACTAGTATGATACGCTATAAATAATAAGGTCTCTATAGACAACAATGACAAATAGATAACAAACACAAAGAAAAGTAGGGTGAATTTCTACCTTGGGACTATTTTTTTTAAGCGTCTTTTTTTCTATTCAATCTGTATGTGTAATTTAATTAAGTGAATTTATAAATTGTTTGATTGAGGGATTTGTAAATATTAGTTGAAGTCGGAATTGACTATCACTAGGAATTGATATAAAACAGATAATTGGTGGAATATACCAGGCGCTAAACTACTGCCTTATATCTGACTTTTCAAAACGTATATCCATGATGCCACCAAGATACTCACAGTGAACTTTCTGAACTCGTCGTATGTCTATAGACCGCTGAATTAGAATCCAGCGATCCAGATTCCTATCTTTAACCGATTCATGGATTATTATGATAATAATCTAATGTGATTGGTATGCGAGTAAATGTTTCAGATCCGATACGGTTGAACTGTATAAGTCATGTTTACTCATGGAACATTTGTCAGGGTTGGCATGCAAATATGCTGAAAAAGATTGATGGATTGCAATCGTAAACATAAATAACCGAAAATTACAGATCCTTAGAAAAAAAGCATACCCATTGCACAAAGCGTTGGTTATCAGGACTCAATAGAACTCAGGATAACGTGTCGAGATTTGAGGCGTATGGTGCTGGACTCGAGTTTCATCGTAAATACCAACATTGGGATCCGACTACATCCGTTAAAAATGTCAAAATAAGACAAAATGTTTGATATGGATTTTATTCCTGGTCAACTTCAGTAAAAATAAAAAGTTCTTCAGTAATGCTTATCAATAAACTAGATTAATAAAATGTTTACTGGCTATTTATGTTCAAACAAAACGTTTAGTTTATTCCACTACGAGATTTTTTTAATCTGTAAATACTTCTACATGATTGCATTGTTATGTTGATCAAAACCTTATTTCCGCAAGACTATTATAAATCCGTTAACAAAATAATATATGATAATACTAATCCCGGTCATGTTTTGTTTTATCCATCTACATTGTTTTACTAGGAATAATCTGCATTGTTGTTTGTCTACTGTCAACTATCACAGTGTATTTATTGGGCATCAGTAAATACATGTATATATAGTATTTTTAAAATCGTCACAAACAATGAAAACATTTGTAAAATTTAATTTTAAAACCTGAAGGAACTCAAAAATAATTGGATTGTTTTCTTAGTTTACAAATACGAACACATAAAAGAAATTTATTTATATGTCTGTCGTAAATAACCATGTTCTTCAGAAAGAGATATGACTTGATTGAAATCATTGGATAAATTATTAATGAATTTTCATCATTCTTCCCCCCCCCCGCGGTTATTTTTCACTTGTTTTAATGTAGTTGTTGATATCTTGTGTAAGTTGTTTAATGCTAATCTCAGATCTTAGTGATTTTATAATTGAAAATAGATAAAATTGGTTTTTATCTGTGAATCAAGTTATCACACTGAATCCTGTGAGAACATACCTTAACAGATCCAACTGCTGCACACCATGAATCGTCATTTGTTTAATTTAATGAAATATTTATAAAAATATGATTCTTTTATTTTAAAAGGTAACAATGATCTTTCAACACAGTAAATGTATTTCTCATAATGTAAGTATTTAAAACTAGGATAGAATAAGGATTTAAAATGTATCGGTCATGTCATATAGTAATATTCTGTGACTTTTGACAATTTGAAAGTCAGCGTTCAACGATTCCACAGATTGTTGTCGGTATAAGATTGTGAAGATTGTTCAGTTTCACTGAAATCAGGGACCAACCAATAGTAGACAATCATTGAAAACCTGAAAGCACTGAACTACTGTTTCGTCCTGATATGGGACTACACAGCACAGTGCATCCACGATCCCGCACGCAGAATTCGTACCCAGCACCATCGGCATCGCGCGCGAACGCTTAAACTCTAGACCACTGAGCCGACATCCATCGTCGTCAATGCTTAAATTCAGCCAATCCACGATAGTGAGCGACCATCTTCCAATGTCTTCGGTGGGTAACTGCCTCACACCTGACACGGATCAAATCAACTGTTCATGGATTCTCACTGGGGATTTTCTTTCTTTAAAAAGTAAAAATGTCTGAACAGAGTGGGCTCCAAACACAAGTGATCGCTAGTCAAATGTGGGAGTAAACCTTTTTTGAGTCTTCCCATTTGTATGTAAGTCCATGATATTGTTTGTTTCTTCAAGATAGTTATCAGTCCACTACATGACTTTTGAATGTAATGTCTAGTTGTTCAGTACGTTCACCTGTCTAGAAAATCACAGCTTAATATCATTTTGGTTATCAATCTGAAATGAATCAATTTATTCAGTATTCTCTAGTTCATATTGATTCTCTGGTTGTTATCATTTTGTGGTGATAATCAGCTTTAGTCACTCGGTCTAATTCTTCTGCTATGAAATGGTAAATACTTATCTTTCTATGGTTCACAGAAATATATTGACCTAGAATGTTGAAATGTGCACTATAAGTTACTAATAATAAGCTCTTAATCTATGTCACTAGAACAAAGTTACAAAACATATTGTATTCGCTCAAACAAAGTAATAAGATCTGAGGAAACCCCGGAAGTTAACGAGACAGTCATTGCAATCTCACAAAATCCCAACTAAGCAATACAATTATTTTACATAAATAATCGTGGATGACCCTAATATATATGAAAAATAACGACATGCTAAACGATTAAGTAACCAATGAGTTGGCAAAAAACATAATTGAGGAAGATCTGGATTTCTGAGTCATCAGAAACTTATGAAGCACAAACATCGGGATTTCAATCATACATGGAAAATCAAAAACCTGAGCGCCATCCTAGCTTCTTAACCAGCCTTCTAATTGATTGTTTCTTTCTGATTTTACTCCGGACAGCGTTATTCAACTGAAAAGCACTTTACTAAGGATATTTCATTTAAGGTAACAATCTAGTATCATATAAAACCATAAATAATTGATGGAAAATTATTGTAACATAGGAGCATGTGAGAAATCAGACTTCGCGCTCAAAACTATTTCGGTCATTTTAACTGAAAATGCTTTGATTGATCAAAATTTCAAGTGTAAAAAAGTAGAATATACCAGCGATTAAAACTATCTTAATAATACAAAATGAATGATTCTAATGTACTTAAATGTTAACGTTACGTTAATTATAGCCTATAGTCTTTAGATTGCAACCGATGTGTAAGATAACTGAGTGTATCCCAATAAAATGTGTATGTACCTATGACCAACAATTAAACATGATGTTACCATCTTCTGGTGGTCGACTGGGTTATGAAGACCTCAACATCTTAATGGAAACACGGAATACAACGGACAGAAAGTTTGGATTTTGCAAGTGACCTAACTCTTTTATCCCATACATACCAACAAATCCTGGTAAAGACAACCAATGTAGCACCAGCCTCTGCGGTAGTAGGCCTCAACATACACAAGAGGAAAAGCAAGATCCTCAAATGCAACACGGAGAGAACCAACCAAGTCACACTTGATACAGACGCTCTGGAAGAGCTGAGACAATTATCTACCTCAGTCAATTGATGAAGGGTTATGAAAGATTATGGCATTAACACCATCGGATGCCGGCCGACTCAGTGTTCTAGAGATTAAGCGTTCGCGCGCGAGACCGAAGGTCCTGGGTTTTCGTCCCGTGTGTAGGACCGTGATTGCGCACTGCTGGGGAGTACCGTACTATGACGAAACGGCCGTCGAGTGCTTCCAGGTTCTCAATGGTGTTCTGGCATAGGTCGACTTGTGAATTCATTCACCTCTAGGATCTTCTCTCAATCCCCTCTTCATGTGATAGCTTGTTTGTTCCCAGCCAGTGGATGGTCGCTGACGATGTCTAGTCAAGGGAAATTGAGTATCTTGCGTAGACAACTGTTTACAAATGCCTGTACCTTTTTGATGACGGTTGTGGTAGTTCTCCACCTTTCAGCTACATACAGTAGAACTGTCTTGACCTTTGTATTAAAGATTCTGACATTAGCAATTAAATTGACAGTTGTTTTAATTTCCATATGTTTTTCAACTGTAGAAATGCGTATCTTGGTTTGTCAACCCTCACCTTTACGTCTGCATCATATCCTCCTCGTTTATCAGTGATGCTTCTCAGGTTCTTAAAACGTTTTAGCTCTTCCAGAGCGTCTGTATCAAGTGTGACTTGGTTGGTTCTCTCCGTGTTGCATTTGAGGATCTTGCTTTTCCTCTTGTGTGTGTTGAGGCCTACTACTTCAGAGGCTGGTGTTACACTGGCTGTCTTTACCAGGATTTGTTGGTATGTATGGGATAAAAGAGTTAGGTCATCTGCTAAGTTCAAATTTTCTAGTTGCAATATGCAGTGAAAAACAATTTTAATGCACAATATTACAACTATACATAATACTAAAGTAAACACCTATATTAGATTCATTCATACTCATTGATAAATATCTCATGATTAGCAATAATTTGACCATAAATCTTGATTCAAACTTTTCTCATGTTTTCTGTAGAATTTTATTGAAGAAGCGGTTTCAGAAAGCTTTGCTCGTTATAAAATAAGTGAACTAAAAAATAATTTATCAAAATATTCTTCGAATAATGGTTCATTCGCTGCTGTACCATCTACAACATCTTCCACTAGTCGAATTTATTCAACCATTGGTAAATCACAATCAAATCCACACATAGATGTAACATCTAACGGTCATACAAAAAACACCAGTAACCATAGCAATGATGTTAACAGTAATTACATAAATGAAAATAAAAATCATACATTTCAAGAAGAATTACTCAATGGAAGTCGTATCTTAAACTTGGAGCAGTCAAGAAGACCTCAAGAGAAAAGAATGGAAGTAAGTGAATTCAAACAAGAAGGAAATGAAGCAGAAATCTCCAGAAGAGATTATTTTCCATCAACGACTAGAGATAGTCCTAAATTAATTCAAGATGACAATATAAGAAATAAAGGTAATATTGGCTAAAGTATATGAAGTAGTTTATTGTATTACTCTATTATCATCGATAGTAGAGATTATTATCACGATACGATGTAAATTGATTAACGCTGTCAACATATACTAACTGGTGTTTATTAAGTGACTTGAAGTAATTTATGAATCATACATGCTTAATTATGCATGAGATTACAGAAGTGTACTCTTTTTCAGAGTGTAATATGCACTTGAAAACAAAAAGACTGTTCAGTAACCATAGGTTTTCACTAGTTCTTTTTAATTAATGCGACAATACCGCTATGAAAAATACCTTCATTATTAATTAGTTTTAATAAATTCAAGTTAATAATAGTCCGTAACTAAAAAAATAATGAGATTTAGCTTCATCCAAATATCTTTGGTACATCAGTCTTCTTGAACTCTTATAAGGAGGCATATGTTTTTCAAGGGTTTATAAAATGTTCGTGGTTGAGTTTAGAGTTAAAATTAATGATTTAGGGTTATGGGTCGGAGTTAGAGTTAAACTTGACTTACATTTAATATTCAATATTAATTGAATAAACTAAACATTTCCTACGTTTAATGCTCTCAGTTTTTTTAATATAGTGACAATAATTTTCGTCATAATTTTAAATATTTTGATTACTATACGGTAGGTTTGAACTTACATAGTAACATGATTATGTTCAGTACACCAGAGTTAGTTATTCGAAACCTTATTAAAAAACATTCATGAGCAAAGCTCTTAGGTATAGAGTTGTAGAGATCGTTGAGTTTTTAATAAGATCATGAACCGATCAGTGTTGGACCACCATTGAACGCCTGAAAGCACTGGACGGCTGTTGAGTCTTAGAATGAAACTCATCAGGTTACTTTGTATTTTATTTTCACATCTTGAAGAATTTATCACTTCCTTATTTTACCAACTTTTGAATTAATTTGGCAAATATGTGGTTTGTAATTAAATAAAGAGAATTCATCTGCTCTACTCTGATCGTTCTTGATCGATTTTTCAACCAAACTCTGTTATGTCGGAATAAACGACAACAGTTTGTTTGCCTGGTTTAAATTTTATAGGGTCCCGTATGATCAGGTCTAGTACGATTATCGATTAGTTCACCTTTATTACCAGTAGAGCCGATGACTTTTAATAGCCGTTTGATAAGTCGACCAATGAAAAACAATCAAGGTGTTAACTCTTACTGGTCTTCGTACTTCATCTAACTTAGTGGCCTATCAGAAGATGAAAGAAGACAGATCACTTCCCCCGTTGTAGCCACTATAATCATAACTCGAATTGCATACAGTAATCTAGAATAAGATCTTGATCACAAATCAGGATAACTAAGAAATTGCATTGACGGCATAAAGACGCCAAAATTGGAATACGACTGAACAATAGATCCATAATAAAATAACATTAACTTAAGGAAAATATAACACAACATTAGTTTGCACATCAACAAAAGCTTACAAGCAAGAGCATACAAAAATACAGTATTTAGAGTATTTTGTAGTTAGAGAACGAAAATAGAAACAAAAGCTTCAGGTGTGACAGTTTCAAAATTCAACGTTTCTCATAATCACCCTGTTTTATTAACCTCCAACCATTGATCGAAGTTATCGCGTGGACGCTAACAACTGTGTACCTAACAACGAAACTCATTCTAACCGTCATTGACTTCAAGGATTGATGTCATTTTTGGTTTGGCCCCCTCCTAGTTTTCATCCAAACAACTACAACAATTCACATTACCTCTCGAGGTTATCAGTGGTAAGGTATACTTAATACATTCCCTCATCGTCTCAGTTTATGTAGGTTTGCGACCTTATCAATCTATTTTTCATCACTGTCTGGTACTTTATGGATAACTTCAACATTATTAACTCAGTCGTTTTATAAAATGTGCGCAATCCTCCGATGAAATCTATATTCGGTAGCCTGAAGCTTACACATAAGCGACGTTTCATAACCCTAAAGAAATACAGAGTGGACTGGTGTTCAGTGCACTCACCATTTGTTTGAACATAAATTTATTGATAGTTGATAGGATTCAGCTCATATCTGAAATGTTTGCCCACAATATTACTCACAACTATGATAAACATGAAAAAGATGGGAAGAAGGTACAAAACTAGTGTATATAAACAGAAATCATTGAAAACAGTCCGAGTTCTGTGGAGCTTACAAAATATAACCTTGGATATAATAAATAATAATCATAAGCGACATTACGTAGTTGAAATAAGTTGTGCCTAATTTTTGTCAATATACTAACTAATTTTTAAATGTGAAATCATTTAAAGTTTTCTTTAATTACACTAAGTATTTTAGACAGCAACTTACCGCATGTATTTTGCTACTGACATTCAATAAAAGAATTTATTTTAAAATGAATACAATCAATTATAATACAGAAAATAATGCAAATTATCTGAATTTCCCAAGTAATTTTGTTACTGACAACATATCAACGATGTACTGGTCATCATTTTCAGAGAAAATTACAATAAGACTTGCAAATTCGTTCATTGTAAACTGATCACAAAATGTGTGCAAACATTAGATTTATTTTGTGTGAAAACATAATACACTGACAGCTTTCAGTGAATCAAAAGGAATCAAGATAGCATCTTATGGATTTTTGCACCAAATTGAGAGCTCAGTAAAAAATATGTTGCATTTAATTATAAACTAAGCTAAAATTGTCATTATATGTGAGAATTATATTTGAAATATTCTCAGCGATTGAAATATAACTAATTCCAACGTTTCGTCCAGCCAACATCCAGGCAACTGAATGTAAGATTGAAGGAACACAAACAATGCTTGAAAAATGTTCCAAAATCTTCGGTCGATTTAAAGACACTTGAAAATAAGTCAGCGATAGCGTTACATGCGTTAGAAACAGGGCACAAGATTAATTTTGAAGGGGACAAAATACTTCAGAAAGGTTTTAACACCCATAGAGAAAGATTGACAGCAGAAGCGCTGCATATATGGGCGAACAAGAACAGCCTGAACCAAAAAGATGGTATTCAACTGGCAACTACATGGCAAATTTCGTTTGACAAGTAAATTTGGAACCTATCTCTTGTTTAAACCTGTTTTTAATATCACATGCATCGTTATTATTTTTGAATGAATTCAATGAGTTTTTTAAACAATACAGTTTATGTTTTGACATGTACATCGATGTTTTATTATCAAAAAATTTTTCAACCTTGAACTTGAACTTTATTTATTTATACCTTCATATCAATCTCTTACACATACACACATACCTGCACACTCACACACATACGATTTGTTACTCAGTTAATTATTTCTATGTAGTTGAATTCTTCACATGATTTGTAGTTAACTGACTCATTTTATCCTATTTTACAAAAAATCAACATCCAAATATGATTGGTTTAACACAGTATAATCCTGATTGTTAAAAGCTATATATGTCTTTGATAGTTTTGATTTCGATTATTACCCTGAAGAAGTCCAGACAAGTTGGCTGGACGAAACGTTGGAATTAGTTATATTTCAATTGCTGAGAATATTTCAAATATAATTTTTACATATAATGACTTCTCCATACTCGGCGCTCAATTACTGTCAAACTATTCGTTCTAATCTTGAAGAATATTCGTATATAAGCAAAAATTGGTTATATTTTATTTATAAAACGTTTCAAGTTGATAAAAATACCTATTATGCAACTAATCAGCGAATATGATGATGTTCTCCTACACTAACTCTTAACTCTAAATCTCATCTTTCACTTTCTTAGGTTCATAAACAAAAGAGTAGCAAAGCTTCATTGCGTTATAATTAATGTTAGTTTGTGATGAGCACCCTAATTCATAACTCTAGTTAAACCCGCGATTCCTAACCCTAACCTTTAACATTATAGATAATGTCAACTGATGGATAAGAACCCTATAGGCTAATAACCCTAACTAATAACACTAGCTCGATTCATATTTAAATCTCACTTTTTTTCTTTTACTGTGATGAATAATTTAACATGTAAGAGTTGGTCATATCTCAACCATTATTCCTCTGTAATTTTATTGCTTTCCATTGCTAATTATTTTATAACGAAACACCGTTTCATCAATGGTTAGTAAGTTACTGAAAGTCGTTGGTATTGTATACTCTCGCCTTCCATTCTTTTTGAATTAATCAAATTGGATGCTTGACGAATTACAGATTAAAGCTAAAGTATTTTTAATGATAAATTTCTCTTTCGAAATAAAAATAATTAAACAACAACAGTTAAAAAAGAATTAAGAAGTATGGAGCTCTAGGTTAAAACGTTCTAGCAGTGTACATCAATGATCAATAATCTTTAATCTATGAACGGACTTGATATTAAAGATTGAATGGCTCATCTTGCTTACCATTAAATCAAAATTTAAACTGTTTACGAGAAATAAATGTTGAGCAAAAATAGTTGATTTATTAAAGTAAGTAATACTATATATGTGAGTAATAATTGGATAGATTTCTCAGTTAATCACAAGAAGATTAGTTCTGTTTTACATAACTATGTTTTTCAGCTGGACACTTATGTCAAATAATTCTGGATTATAATTCAAACTATTTTATAGTGTCTAAAATTTATACATTTAAAACTAAAGATATTCACAGTTATATATTAGAAAGAACCATTATTTATTTTAAAATGTAACCATCAGTGAAAAGCTTAGAGCCTCATGATCAACAAAAAATAGCGTACTAGTTGATAGTTTAAGTTAACATAAGCAAACTATCTTTTTGGACGGTTTCATTTTATTGTTTTCTTTGTTTAGATTTATTCTGGTATAAAGTATTCAGAGATGTTTACAAGAGATGACTTGTTAAATTGACTAAATGCTCAACAGGTAATCTCAAGTTATTGATGAGAACATTCAATGTAACATTAACTTCATTTTCGTCTTACATCAACTGTATTTGACTAAAATTAACTAATGAATACTTATTTCAGCAATATAACTGGGTGTTATATATGTAGAATTAATAATTTTAAGTATTCTGCTATTATTTGTAAGTGTTGTTGTAATCTTCTGTCAATATTTCTAAAAAGTAGTTTTATGTTCTCTTTATTTTTAGAACTAGAATGTGAAAATTCTCGATTGACAGCTGAAGTAGAACGATTGAAAACACGTTTAAAATTGTATGAAGAAGTATGTTAAATGATCATTACTGACAATTATAACTTATATCATACTTTTTATCGTATCAAAGTAATAACAATCATCTGTTGATAATATAATACAGATACGACATTTGAGTTCATGGACAATTTGTAGTAGATAATTGCTTTAATTATCACTGCTGGATTTAAGCTCCAAAAGTCAGTCAGTTAGTCATAATTTCATCAAACCTGACAGATATTTTCATTGACTCAAATCGACACACAATATTATTATAGTGATATGCAATAATTAATACAAATAGCTGGTTATTAGAAGTAATGATAGCAGTAGTAGTAGTTAAAAAGATAATACATAGACATTATAATTCTAGAACAAAAAATTTGTACTTATAATGCTTATAATGCTTGTGACTTAAGGCAATATCGAGGCAATTCAGACAGGATGCACATAAGCCAATAGGTGGCTGATCAAATGCAGTCTTTAACATCAATGGGAAGTTTAAAACAATTGATACGAAATGAACTAAAGTATAAGATAATCTTAAAATTCAAAATCTAAAAGATGTTAAAGGGTGGCTGCTTCTACTGTACTATTTACCGTCCAACACTGACCAGCTTCAGCTAATAAATTTATGGATTGATGTCATGTTTTGTATTGTTCGTTCCTACTCCTCCTACCACCCACTCATACACTAACTAAAGAGTACCATAAAGCTTTCTTTTAGCATATATTATTTCAATACAGATTAATGTGTTATCACATTCATTATTAGGTTTAATAGAAACAAAAATTCTGGGTTTTGTTTTCATGCATAATGAACTTCATTTACTCTTCCCGATTAAAAGAACTTGTTTGATCTCTGGTACTACTGTAGAGTATTTGATAAAGAGTAATTCCGTTCGCATTTGTTTCCATTGTAATAGTAGTGATAGTAATATCAGAATGAAAATATAGAAGCTTTTTCACTGTCTTAAATTAATCCATTAGTCTCCAACTAATATGTGCATTAACAAGGGATACTGTACTATTATATCGTTCTCATCAATGCATTGAAAATTATGTCTAACTACTTGAAAACTAGTTTATATATATATATATATATATATATATATATATATATATATATATATATATATATATAGGATTGTTGCGGAATTTAGTAAATATTCGTAAGACAATGACTGTTAACTATACAACTTATCACTTTGAAAATTCTGCTCCTTTTCAGATTTTGTTTAGATTAAGCTTTTTGTTAATCACTTGACTTACACACTTACATGCAGCCGCTACCCCTCATGGAAGCTTATGCTCCAAACTAGGATTCTCAAACCAACTATGTTCAATGCTCTATTTTCCAGTTGTTCCCACTAGACATTTATTCTTTTGATGTCTGCCTCCAGTTCTCAGAGCAGTGTGTTCTTTCATCTGCCTCTTTTCCTTTCACATCGACGATTCCGAGTCAAGGCTTGGTTCGTGATACAATTTCGTGATTTTCGTAATGTATGTCCTATCCACCACCAGCGTCTTCCCCAATCTCGTCTTCATGTGAAATCTTGTTTGTTCCCAGCCACAGTGGATGGTTGCTGATGGTGCCTGGCCAAGGGAAATTGAGTATCTCGCGTAGAAAACTGTTTACAAATGTCTGTATCTTTTTGATGACGGTTGTAGATGTTCGCAACGTTTCCGCTCCATACAGTCGAACAGTCTTGACATTCGTATTAGCGATTCTGACAATAGAAATTGAATTCACAAGTCGACCTATGCCAGAACGCCATTGAGAACCTGGAAGCACTCGACGGCCGTTTCGTCATAGTACGGTACTCCCCAGCAGTGCGCAATCACGGTCCTACACACGGGACGAAAACCCAGGACCTTCGGTCTCGCGCGCGAACGCTTAATCTCTAGAACACTGAGTCGGCCGGCATCCGATGGTGTTAATGCCATAATCTTTCATAACCCTTCATCAATTGACTGAGGTAGATAATTGTCTCCGCCCGACATGGATTGTATCCCTCTGGTCATGGCTTCTCACTTTGTTGTTGACTGAGACGAGTTTTCGATTCCTTGAACTTTAGGAATCTTGTCCTTGCTCTGCCGATGCGTGCCTTCACAACTGCATCTTATCCTTCTCGTTTATCAATGATGCTTCTCAGGTTCGTAAAGCTATCCACCTCTTCCAGAGCTTGATTGATTCTCTCTGTGTTGCATTTGAAAGTCTTCCTTTTTCTCTTGTTGAGATGAAAGAGAAAAGAGTAGAGTAAGCAGCCTTGTCGCATACCAGTTCTCAATTGAAATGCATATGATCGTTTTTCTACATGCCTAAAGTTGCAGTGTATTCTGCCGTATGAATTCTGCATGGTGACGACGATCTTCTCAGTTACAGCATAATGTCGAAGCACATTTCATTTTGTCGATCAATCCGCGTTGTCAAATACTTTCTTAAAGGCAAAGAATTTGATGTTTGGTGAAGGGTTTTATCCTATTGATTGCTCATCAACGACTCATAGTTTCGTGTTTTGGTCTGTCCTTTACCGATTCATATGGAATCTAGCCTGTTGATTATGAAGTTGGACGTCTACTGAATCTTTCTTCCAGTTCAGTAACACTGTCGAAAGCCTTTCCTGGCACTGATAGTAGTGTAATGCCTCTGTAGTTCTCACATTTGCTCAGATCTCCTTTCGTTGGTATCTTGATGAAGTATCCTCGATTCCAGTCCATCGACACTTGTTCTTCCTCTCAAATCTTCTTGAATAGAACATGCAGCATGTTTGTAGTTACTTCGATGTCTGACTTTGGTGCTTCAGCTGGTATATTGTCAGGTCCTGCTGCTTTCCCGCTCTTGATTTTTCTGATGACCGTCCTGATTTCTTCGATCTCTGGTGAAGTGACATCTATAAGAAGGTCTGTAGGTGTTGCATTGATATATGATGAGTTCTGTGGGGCTTTTCTGTTCAAGAGTTCCTCGAAGTGTTCTACCCACTTGCTCCTCTCTCCTTGAATTTAGGTGACTGACTTCCTTTGTTGATTCTGGACTTTTTGCTCGGGTTTACAATATTTTCTTGATAGTTTCTTCGTTGCATTATTTGGTCGTTTCATATTTCCTTCTCTTGCAGCTGTTTCCACTGTCGCTTCCAGGCCTTCCACGTATTTCTGCTTGTCAGCTCTAATATTTCTCTTCACTTTCTTGTTTTCTTCAGTGTATTCGGTCGGTGTCTTGGCTTTACGTGCTCTTGTTCGGCTGTTCTTAACTGGTGTCTTCTTGTTCCTCCTTATTTGAATCTTGCTCAGGGATCCATTCATTTTGATGTTTCTTGGAGCTCAGCACTTCTTGGTACTTTGAAATTAGTGGTTTTTTATCCTTATCCAATTGTCCTCCACACTAGTTCCGTCTTCCAGTTGATCTTGTAAGGCTTAGAACCTGTCGCTAATTACATTACTACAGTCTGATTTTTGGATATATATTATTGCCAAATATGTAGTAAACTGAACTAGACGCTAAAACATAATTGTTTATAGCAATCAACGCATTAAGGACAAATTAACCATATGTTTTACCAACTACTTAAATGACATTGTAGCTTGCATCCGCTATGAATTCAAATATGACTGCATTTCATCCTGTCATGCCTTTATCTCTGACTAATTCACACGAATCAGCAGGCGGAAATATCAGTTTTAATATAAATGCCGGGTCTACGACGAAACGTACAATGTCCTTAATGTCATCAAATCCAAATTTAACAACCAATCCAAAGACATCGTCCTCATAAATAATCCCTAGTGGATTAAATTTTGAAAATGATCTTACACGTCAGGAACAATTTTCTTATAATGCTTAGTTGTAATAATCATGAAGAGAATCAGCTGAATTCAATACCACGTATTCAGAATTTAATAAATTAATAAGGTAAGTAGTGTAGTTGTTATTCTTGCTTTGCTATATTTTTTATGTGTGCTATAGGCACAATTAAAATACGTAGATTGAGGTTATTTTTTAAATAGTTTATGACACGTACAGTATTTAATCATCTAGAAACTAGTTTACTTGGAGCAGTTGCAAGTTTCATCTTTGTAAAGTCATATTTAAAAGCTTTTTGTTATGCACTAATCAAGAACTTATGAGGATCGTTTCTTTCCGAAGGCTTCATTTGTTTTGAAGCGAAACCGTTCTATATCTTCATCATCAACACTTTGTAGATAACTTCATTATTGTACTAGTTATAAGGTTGATGAAAAATACAAACTCCAACATTCTCGAACTACAAATCAGAACACTAAAAGATCAAATTTATTATTTATTTGTTCATATGATTGAATGAGTAGCATAACATATCACAACGTACTACACATGGATATACAAATTTGGTGTTTTCTTTATAAGGTTGATGGACAAATTTATAATTAGTTGATTTCAATGTATAAACTGTATAAGACGACAATAACAAATATTGAGTTTAAAGTTAGATTACAACTAACAATGATCATTTGTATATAGTTTAATAATCATGAAGTAAAAGATACCAGTTTGATTATTTATATTTTATCTTAGTGAGAAATGGGATTTATTTAGTTTTATCAGGGTTTCAGTTACATCTCATCGGTATATTTTGTCACCAGTAAATTACTAGTTCAAGTGGTCATTTGCACAGTATTCCGACAAATGAGTGCAGTGTCATTTTTTCACTTATTTATTTAGTTATAATAATGGATGAACTTACCTACAACTTTTCCAATGTTCAATAAATGAATCATTCTGACGCTCAAGCATTCCTATGAAATGTTAAGCAAGGGTACACTAGATATGTTCATATTGGACAATTGTGCATAAATGTAATAGATAGTATATATGTACACAGCACTCACTTCCTGAATAAACAGTAAAATTATGAGAAGTGGTGTGTACGATACAATTAGTATTGAAAACACATTATGGATAAACTCAGATGATAGCAACTAATATGTTCTTATTTCCTTGGACTAAATTTTATCTTTTTCCATTTCAGCCTTTTCAGGAAGTTCAGTATAGTTTGATGAAAGCACTTAGTGCTTCGTTAAATATATAATAACATTTTCATCCGTTTTTTCATCAAATTACTGAACTAATTGAATTTTGAACACAGCTTTTGTTTTAGGCTACTAATTAACTTTAAAAAATCCAGCCTTGACGTTGAATTCTTTTGTCGCTTGACATGTTAACTTGCATTGTTTTTATTCCCTATTTGTTTTTTGTTGTTTCATTCTAGACATTTATTTTCATTGTTTTTCTTGGTCTCATTCTATACTACTAAAAGTTTTAAAGTAATATACACATATCACAAAATGGAAATGGAATTTAATGAATTTTTTTCTTCCTCTAAAATCATTACTGCTTTTGTGAATTGTTTTTTGAATCACCAATTGTATGCACAAACATATCATGACGTTTCGTTTATTCTGTGATTTGTTGTAATTCTTCCCACACTTTTATTTACTGCTGTCGTTTGTAAGTTCTGTTATTGGAACTTCTCCAACTTGACAACTATGTACGTATTGTAGTACTTCAATTCACCTCCCGATATTGAATTTTCTCGGGTTTTGAAAAACGAATTATTATGTTTCTACTGAACTGCGGATTTTTAATCTTTGCTGACAATATGTTTCTTTTTCTGTTGTACTTTTTCCTTCCTTTTCAAATGTTTCAAATAAACTGTTTAGCTAAACTATTAATAGAAAGGGTTTTTTGTCTGAATGTTGTTAATTACTGAAACGATTCATACTATTGTTAATAAAAGAGGTAAGGTGGGCTGGACATTCTACAAACTGAACTAGTTTGGTAAGTTTATATATGTAGATAGTCACCATTGACATGGTTATTTCTAATTTGCCATTTTAAAACAAAATATCGTATGCCATTCTGATAATTACTTGCACCCTACTTAATAAATCGTGCTTATTTTCACTAACACGATCATACTTGTTTGCTTACAGTTTAAGATGAAGCTTTGGGTGAAATAAAAAACCTTTGCATACTACTAACAAGTAGTTTAATGGAAATAATTTCATTTTCAGGTTTCGTTTTTGAACTTAACTCTTCGGACTATATATATCATATGTCAGGTACGCACATGAATATGTTAGAAACTTCGTTCAATTCACAATTCAACACCACCGTAAATTAATCTAAATTAACGTGTATAACACTGCGAAAAAACATTTATCCATACAGAGTTACTTTCTTATTATTTCGATAGTTGTCTGTATATATCATTATGTAATACCACATACGTTTTTAACACAGAAGTATTTTCGAAGATTGATTCAGCGGGTTTGATAGCTGTATGCAACACATAAACCTAATTTATACGATTGTAGTCTGTCTCACTTCGAATCACTTTATCTATTTCAAACGAATGGAGTGAACATTGTTACTTAGAATGCAATTCATTTCAGCTGCATACTCAAAGCAGAGTAAAATCAATATTTATAAAATAAGTCTCGGGAATCGAACCCGAAGTTTACGACCGCCGAGCTAACGCTTGACGTCTGAACCGGAATTTAGCAGTGCCAATGTCTGGTTTCGATCAGTTCACAATATTGACCCAATTATTCTTCATCCTCTATTATGGATAACATTCTAACTACCGAAGTGATTGAATTCCACTGTTTGGAGCTTTTCATCAGAACTAGAAGTGCATCTCAAATTTTTTTTTAAGTATACATATTATTATCAATGCTGGTGTAAGAAGTTTGCAGAGACTGTTGAATGTTCACTGCATTTAATTTTATTTAATGAAATATAAATTTAAAATATATGTATCTGGTTTTTCTGTTTCTATTGGATAATTAAAACTTTCATTTGTATAGTCCTGGTTTTTATTTTCAATATTGAATAAGTAATGAGAATAATTAACTGCTTGAGGCTAAAACTATGAATCATTTACAACCATCGCATTATATTTTTGTGACTGCGTTTAAATCTAATTATTCATAATAATAATAATTCCTACAAGGGTTACTTTTAGAAATTTATATCAATATTAACCAATTTTAAATTGTTATGTTTTTTTTTATATGTAAACCAATTATTTCATTCTATGCAGTAAAATGCGTGTTTTCATTGATCAGACGGTCGACAAAAGAATGTGCCTCCCCCTAAATTCACGGTTTCCTGATGACTAACCTCCAGCCATTTAATACCTCAAAATAGTTCATCTAATGTCCAGTTTTTTAGACTAATGATTTATTGTAACTAGATCTACAAACTCCGATCAACTTTGTAAAGACTAGAATAATATGACAGTGATCAGTACTCACTAATTAATCATTTGATTTCTACCAACATTATTGGTATTCTTCATTATGCATTAATTGATCTTTTCCTATAAACTTTAACACAATTTATCTAGTGTAAGAGATATACACTTTATAGGAAGCATTTTGTTGAGTAACTCAATTTCAAATAAACTAGGCCATAGTTTTATATTCATGTATTAGTATATCTTCGATATTAAGAAAGATAATGTTTTGTCAGAAATATAAACCTATAGCCAGGAACACCAAACTATACTCTACAATATTTTATGTATATTCGAGAAAAAAAATGTAGGTAAGACAGTATTCTCAATAATTATAAATATTGTAGTATATAGAAAAAAAGTTAACTCATCTACTCAAACAAATAAACAATAGTAAATATCTAAGTCACGGGGTATATTCAATTGTATGAATTTACTTTTCTATGTATATATGTATTTATATATCCATTCATGTACGTATGTATGCATGCATGCACTCATACGTTTTTTCTATGAACTTAGAAACATATTAGATTTTTAATAATTTCCAATTGTTGATTTGTTTAAATGTCTGTTACATTTCAAATATGTTTCTTTTTAATAGTTGAAAAAAAGCCCAAATCAAAATGATTCCATTAAATGCCAATAAGTGATTTTTTTTGTTGAACCAAATAATTGATTATTACTTTTTAATTGTTTTAATTCTTTAATTAATGCATTCCATTGAATTGATGCTAAATTATCGATTAATTTAGTCACACCAATTGATATATTTGCCACACGTCTTAAGTGATTCGATGTATCTGTTCGGGTAAATATTTGTAATATTATTCCAATATTATTATAGTTTAATAATCGATTCACATCTACATTTAATGAGACATGTTCATCTTTAGGAATTGAAATATGATTGCAAATGTGGAATAGGTCACTTTGATCAATGCTATTCTCTTCATTATATGATTTTTTCTTAACAAGTCGAATTGGTTTGCATCGTACAATGGATAAGGTTGTATTACCAAGGCACAATAATGCTTGAAATATCATTTCAGCTAGAAAAAATGTTAATAGTGTTAACATTATAAACAGAGGGCTAAAGTTAATATGAAAAAAATACTAAGCTCATTTGCAATAGTTGTTTAAATCTTCCAATTGATGTTTAGGACTGCAATTGATCAGTCTCTTTCGTCGTGTACGCATTCTGTGAGGTTTGCATTGATACTGACATTTAGTCACAAACATTATAAGCAGAGATGGATGGTGGCTATCAGTGGAATCCAGGATTCGTGTTTCTTCCTATTGAGGACTAGTCACCTAGATTCGGCTGCATGCCAAACTGGCAGTCCACCACGGAACTTTAATTCAGTATCGTTTGTTTCAAACGTCATTGCGTTATATAATTAGCTACTGGTTTCAGACAACCACTTACTTACTTACTTACTTACTTACGCCTGTTGCTCCCAATGGAGCATAGGCCGCTGACCAGCATTCTCCAACCCACTCTGTCCTGGGCCTTCTTTTCTAGTTCCATCCAATTCTTGTTCATTTTTCTCATGTCTATCTCCATTTCTCGGCGTAATGTGTTCTTTGGTCTTCCTCTTTTCCTTTGACCTTCAGGATTCCATGTGAGGGCTTGTCTTGTGACGCAGTTGGGTGCTTTCCTCAATGTGTGTCCTATCCACTTCCAGCGCTTCTTCCTGATTTCTTCCTCCACTGGGATCTGGTTTGTTCTCTCCCACAGTACGTTGTTGCTAATAGTGTCCGGCCAATGGATCTGAAGTATTTTGCGTAGACAATTGTTGATAAACACCTGTATTTTCTGGATGATGGCTTTTGTAGTTCTCCAGGTTTCTGCCCCATACAGTAGAACTGTCTTGACATTTGTATTGAAAATCCTGACCTTGGTGTTGGTTGACAGTTGCTTTGAGTTCCAGATGTTCTTCAGTTGTAAATATGCTGCTCTTGCTTTGCCGATCCGCGCCCTCACATCTGCATCAGATCCACCCTGTTCATCAATGATGCTGCCCAAATACGTAAAGGTTTTTACATCTTCCAAATCTTCTCCGTCAATTGTGATTGGATTGGTGCATTCTGTGTTGTATCGGAGAATCCTGCTTTTCCCTTTGTGTATATTGAGACCTATTGCTGCTGAGGCTGCTGCCACACTGTTTGTCTTCTCCTGCATCTGTTGTTGCGTTTGGGATAGAAGGGCCAGATCGTCTGCGAAGTCTAGATCATCCAACTGCATCTCAGATGTCCATTGTATCCCGCGCTTTCCTTCAGACGTTGACGTCTTCATGATCCAGTCGATCACCAGGAGAAAGAGAAAGGGTGAGAGTAAGCAACCTTGCCTGACACCGGTCTTCACTTCGAACGACTTTGTCAACTGTCCTCCATGCACGATTTTGCAGTGTAATCCATCATATGAGTTCTGTATGATATTGACTATCATCTGAGGCACGCCGTAGTGTCGAAGAAGTTTCCATAGTGTTGTTCTGTCCACGCTATCAAATGCCTTTTCGTAGTCAATGAAGTTGATGTAGAGTGATGAATTCCATTCAATAGATTGTTCCACAATGATCCGTAGAGTTGCGATTTGGTCTGTACACGATCTATCCTTACGGAATCCTGCCTGTTGGTCTCGAAGTTGGGCGTCTACGCAGTCCTTCATCCTGTTTAACAATACTCTGTTGAAGACTTTTCCCGGTATTGAGAGAAGAGTGATACCCCTGTAGTTATCACACTTGCTGAGATCGCCTTTCTTCGGTATTTTGATCAGTAGTCCTTCTTTTCAGTCTGTTGGTACTTGTTCCCCATCCCAAATCTTATTGAAGAGAATGTGGAGTATCCGTGCAGTTGCCGCTACGTCTGCTTTTAGTGCCTCTGCTGGGATGTTGTCCGGTCCTGCTGCTTTGCCACTCTTGATTTGTCTGATGGCCATGCTGATTTCTTCAATTGTTGGTGGGCCAACATTAATTGGGAGGTCCGTGGGTGCTGCTTCGATGTTGGGTGGGTTCAGTGGGGCTGGTCGATTCAAGAGTTCTTTGAAGTGTTCTACCCACCTGTTTTGTTGCTCTTCAATGTTGGTGATTACCTCGCCTTCCTTGCTTTTCACTGGTCGTTCTGGTTTGCGGCGATTTCCAGAGAGTTTCTTTGTCGTGTCATACAATTGTCTCATGTTTCCTTCTCTCGCAGCCTTTTCCGCCGTCGTTGCTAAATCTTCCACATATTTACGTTTGTCGGTTCTGATGCTCCTCTTCACTTGTTTGTTTATTTCCGTGTATTCAGCTTGTGCCTTGGCTTTTTCTGCTCTTGTTCGGCTGGTATTGATCGCTGCCTTCTTGTTCCTCCTTTCTTGAATCTTGTCCAATGTACCAACAGTGATCCATTCCTTGTGGTGGTGCTTTTTGTGACCCAGGACCTCATGACATG